TTTAAATACTTTAAATTAACTGTTGGTTGGAGATGTGTGCACTTTGGTAGCTCTCAGTTATTTTGACAATAATTAAGCTTCAGATTAAAGTCACATCTACATGAAAATATAATGATTTTGTCTGATCAGAATTTGATCATCATTTCTTTATCTATTTACACACTGTATTCCTTTCAACTGCAGAAAACCCTACTGGAATATAAGCACCACTGGTAGCGAAACTCCCGTTAGAATTCTAACAGTGTTTTGTATGTAAAATAGGTTAGAAGTAAAATTAAGTAAAAACTACAAGTAAAAATAAGTATTACCCCTGACATGAAAGTCCACTTCTCAAGATAATAAAAAAAAAAACACAAAGTTGCTTTAAAGGCACTTTCCGCCATGATCTTATCAGAGACAGTGACTTGTAGCTAGATATTGATTAGGTAACCATTCATTCTTGAGCAGAGCAGCAGAGAAGACTAAACAAACTCAGGAATTTACAGTACAAATACACAAGATACACCTTATTGAGTGGTACATTACAGTGTAAAATCTGGTTTCAGTATCATCACCCATCACCGTGACACCTGCATCTGGCCAGGTTACACACTCCAAGAGAAACATTGACACATAAACCCCCTTCCATGGGCCTGCTGAGACTCATCATCCTTACAATGTTTGTGTTTCTAGAGAAAACCGTTAAAGTGAGACCATCATGGTTTTCCCTGTAAATACATGTGACCGTGAATGGCTTTTGACAGTTGATATACAAAGCAGAAATGTGCAAAAATACACTAGTTTGCCTCATGAATATCAATAATACAGGACAGATACAGCTGTGAACAAAAGTTTATATACACTTGTAAAGACTGTGTATATCATGCCAGTCTTGAGTTTTCTAGTGACGCCGATATCTCTTAATTTTCTGTGATGGAACAATTGAAACAAACAAAAAAAATCAATAATGCATTTTCATACTCTGATCTTCGCAAAGTCCTGACTTAAACCCCATCATCAACCTGTGGACTGTGATGAAGAAACAAGTCTGCATCAGAAAGCCAACAAATTTAGTTTAACTGCACCAATTTTGTCAAGAGGAGTGGTCAGAGATACAACCGGAAGCTTGCCAGAAGTTTGTGGATGGCCACCAAACATGCATAGTTAAGGTGAAAATGGCCAAAGGACATTTAACCAAATGTTAGAATTGATATTTGTATTATTTTTTTTAACCCAGAAGATTTTGTCATATTTCCAGAAGACCTATAATAAATCGATGAAACAGCCAAAATGCATGAATGTTTTGTTTTGTTTTTTTTAGCAAAAAGCTAATTAATAACTAATTGAGTCGCCTTTCAAACAAGTGTTTGGAGAGATTTCTTCTCCAAACTTGCAAGACGTGGACATAAAAAACACTCACCCTGAGTCAAAATCTCCATAAAGCATGAAATCCCATCATTCAAAAATACCCAAAATAACTAATCCAGGTTACTCCAAATGTCCTGTCTTTATATCAGCTGAAATAATGGTTTTCAAAACTGTGCCAACCCTGTCCACATGTAGTGATGTTATAATATAAAACAATGAGTTAATCAAACAACAGAAACACAACATATGGTACAATAAACTGTATTTTTTAATGTTACACCTGTTGTTGCAGCCAATGCAGTGCAGAAAAACAAAAAACTGGGGAGAGAGAGCAGGGTCATGACATGCAGTAAAGGCCAAGCCGACCAAGAAGCAAACTGAGCAAAGCAATTTGTTCTGAGGCAGAACAATACAGGGGCAATCAGTTCTTAATATCGTTTCTTTTTCCTTCCAGTTTCCAAAGCCCCTGGATCCTCCAAGATGTCCAACCTGTGGATAAGTCTGAGTCTGCTCTACGTTCTACAAAACTGTGTCTCATCAGATGAAGGTATTTTTGTACTGCTTGTGCCAGAAACAGATACACTGAATGCATTAAGAGTAGCATCATAAACATCATATCAATTGTTACTGTTTTCTTGTTCAGGAGTGTCACTGAATTGCAACAACACAGTGGAAGTTAAAGCTGAAGAAACTGTGACACTGAATTGCACCATCGAGTGGAAACTAGAAAACCAGAACTGTACAGACAACAGGTATGACTGGAAGAACACAAATGGCACCAGCATATGTAGCAGTAACTTGACTGAGTACATCTGTTCTTGGGATAAAGTGACTTACGTGTCACTGACCATCTCACAAGCCAAGAAAGAGGAAAATGTTACAGCTGAAATGCATTCAAGCTGTGGGATGGCTGGGTCAACTATCGAAGTTAAGATCTTTGGTGAGTAGCTGTCAGCTTCTGAATGTCTGTGTATGTGAATGAATGTGCTTCTTATTCATTTACAGAGCAAGTCGCTTTTAATGCACGTGTTGAAATAAATCTGTTTTACCTTGCCAGGGAAAGTCTCACTTTCATCGCACCCTGAGGAGCTGAAGCTACCTTTGTCTATTGTATTTGGTGTTGTTGCTGCTGTTGTTGCTGTTGTCGTTGTTGTAGTCACGTCGTATTTATTATGTAGACCTTACAGTGACAGAAGAAATGATAATGTACGTTATTCCTCAACACAGCAAAATGTGTAGCCTTTTTTTTTTTTTTTTACGTTTTCTTTTAGTTACATTTGCTGAATTCTTTTGACATCTTTGTACAGACAGAATCGTGTAAATATCGTATGATTATTTGTGTTTGTACACTTTGAGTGATGTAAATATGATTTGACTTGAATAAAGGAACGCTACTGAATGTACCACACCTGAAAGAAGCTTTTTTAAGTATTGCGTCGTGCAGAATAGCATGCCTTGAACACTGTTTGATGTATGATTCATGGTTTTTAAAACACACAATCGATTAAGAAGAATCTGATGCAGAGAGCTCAAGTCCAGTCATGATGTTGGTATAAGCTCTCATTTAGTGCAGAAGAAACTGCAACTGCAGTGCAGGTTCTAATCATTCTAACATGATTTCATTCAACTCCAAAGACTCAGCGGCGCTTTCTTCTCACATCGTTTTCAACTTTATCTATAATCTCTGAAATCCAGTAACTTCCACAGCGTCGTCTTCCCTCCATCCTGCTGTTGTTACTGCTTGCAGGAGCAGTAGCTTGAGCTGCTGGCTTCCAGCACAAACTTTGTCATGGTTGTGTTTTAGTTGGACCATAAAGCAAACACTGGACCTGAACTTAAAGTTAAGAGGTTTTCTGGGGACCAGGGGAGTGGCTGAGGTGGCAGAATTGCAACTTCCAGCACTGGTGAAGGGAGTCCTGAGGTCTCTCCTCAAGCAGATTCATGTTGTGGAATTTTTAGAATTGAACAAAAGACAAAACTGATTTTTAGAGTTTAATAAAAGACAAACATAGAGATATGATTAGAAAGTCTAAGTAAGCATGCAATGAGACTAAAATGTCCATTCATCGATTATCTATACACCAGAGAGAACCCACACTGCACGGGGAGAACATGCAAACTCCACACAGAAAGATCCCGGCTTCCAATCTGGGACGTGAACCGGGGATCTTGTAGCTGCGTGGCAATGGTGCTAACCACCGAGCCACCATGCAGCCCGAGACTAAAATGTGATGTGTAAAATTTAAGCATCAATAAATAATGTGATAAGATAATATGAGGAGCTGCAGGGTGGCGCAGTTGGTAGCACTGTGCCTCGCAGCAAGAAGGTTGCCGGTTTGCATCCCGGTGGGGGCACTGGAATCTTTCTGCGTGGAGTTTGCATGTTCTCCCCGTGCAGTGTGGGTTCTCTCCGGGTTCTCCGGCTTCCTCCCACAAAGTCCAAAAACATGTTGAGGTTAATTGGTGATTCTAAATTGTCCGTAGGTGTGAATGTGAGTGTGCTTGGTTGTCTGTCTCTAAGTGTAGCCCTGTGATAGACTGGCGACCTGTCCAGGGGTGTCCCCTGCCTTCACCCTGAGTCGGCTGGGATAGGCTCCAGCCCCCCCCCCACGACCCTAGTTAGGATTAAGCGGTGTATAGATAATGGATGGATGGATAATATGATGTGTAAACAAAACTAAATTTATTCATATACACAATGTGGTGAAGATGGTGCCCAGGACGGCAGTGAGAACCCCATCGCTGAGGGGGAGAAGGGAAGCAGTGCACCTACAGTCTAAAACTACCCTGTGCTAAGCAAGAAATAATGCTGACTACGGACTTTCTGACGGGTATAAAAAAAACAAAAACAGGTTGGGTTTTTTTCAGGGAAGGAGGGGAGTTGGACGAAGTTCGCAAAATGTATGTAAGGACATGCAATGCAGATTTTGCTAATGTTTGTTCGTGCAGCCTCTGTATCAACTAAACATTATTTACATCAGACTGTGAAGACTGTTTGAAGATTTTTTCCTTCTAGTATATCTTTTTTGAGGACTTGAAGTATTTAGATAAGGATGATTATTTCGGCTACATGTTTTGACGATGTGCCTGATCATTGCTGGCCCATAACAGGCAGACCAGGTCTCAACATTTACCACAATTCGCTCCTTAAGTCATGTGAATGCTGGGTCATCAGCAGGCTGTGAACGATGTGGTTTGGGGATGAGAATAGTAGCTGAGACCCTCCATCAGTCAGCTAGAAACGAGGAAGCCTACTGAGAAGTGAAACATCTTTATTATCCAAACATAAGCTGCCTTCTGCTGAGAGACTTCAGACTTATGAACAATGCTATTTAAATGTATTATAGGAAATATGGGATGTAATGGTTAAAAATCTGAACCACTTTCCCTCTGCTCCCCACATTTTACCCCTATTTTGTTAATGTGCTGCTTGTAAAACAATACAAGTAGACATCAAAGTAAATGTGGAGTGGAGTGATTGCTAGATGTGACACAAACGTGTTAAGGGAAATAAATCATCTCTTCAAGTAACGCATTCACAGTGTAAAGTGTTTCCACGTCTTTGAAGCAAGGCCGTGCTGTACCTTCACACCCACACACAGCTGATAATGTGACAATAAGTCAGAGTCACATTTCCTCCCCACATCACACGTCTCTTTAAGTATCAGCGCCAGTCCGCCTGTTCGTCCGTCTGACTGCTGCGACTGGGGCACCTGCGCATACGAGGCAGCAGCCTGCTGCGGCCCAGCTAGCAGGATGAAGGTCCAGTGGTGGGGCTGCATGTTGGGATTATTCTGCATGCCTGCTGAAGTCATACTCATCATCTGGACAGGTGAGTGTGTTTCTGTGGACGAGAAAAGGATGATTTTTTGACTTGAAGATCCAGCAAACATGCATGTCTTCAAAGGTGAATCTGAGTCATCTTTTCCTGTTTGTTAGCAGCCTCATCCTGTCAGCGCCTCTAAGAACAGTGGTGAAAACAAATGTCTTTTATTGGTTGTTTTCCTTGCTAAATGTATTGATACCACAAAGAAATGCAAGTAAAATTTTTCCTCCTAAAACTTACTGAATTTTATCTGCAAGTTTACTTAACAAAAGTAATCAAACCTGTCAACAAATACCAGCGGTGATTCGCATTTTGCTGTTGCAGCTGAGGTTAGTTTTAGTTGTTTTGTGTACAGTTACTGAGCGTAGTTTGGTCCAGTAGAGACCTCCAGTGAGTCATGAGATGATTAATGAGATATTGCTCTGCCTTCTAAAATGCAGCAAAGGACTACAACCAAAAGTCTGACAAATGCTGGTTTTAATATTTTTAAAAAAGAAATATATTTTCTAAGCATGTATTATTTAATAGCATCAAATGGAGACTGTCATATACTTGAGTGGATGGACTCAGTAACTTTCCACCACTGTTTTAGCTCTTTTCATAGTTTCTAGTACTTCAGTGGCTCCCAATCCAAGAGATTATGTTGTTTGAAATGTTTCCACCCCAGCACTGCTTTGCTGTAAGACATGGTTTCATCTTTAAAAATGTGATCCATTTTATGAGCTTGTTTTTTTTTTCTGTAGGAGCTGAAAAAAAAAGTAACTACTTGCTGAAGATAGATTACATAACACTGATATGATTTCTCAGCAGAATGTAGTAGAGTTAAAGCAATTTGGAAACTGTCATCTACCAGTGTATAAACTGATCATGTAAAATACTTTTTCAAGAATCTCCTTTAAAAAGAAAATAATAAACCTAGAGCTTATGAGAGTTGGTTTTGTTTAAGAGGGAAATGTTGAGCTAGAGAGGGTCTGCAGGACCTCCCCCAGGAAGTTTTAAGCATCGAATACTTCATTTCCTGCATTATGGTTGAACTTCTGTGCAACACTTTGTTTCTTTTTTGCACTGATTTATGGTGGAAAAGTCCTAATTTAGGCAAACAGCTTTAAATATAAAGGAATATAATGCAATGCAACTCTCAGACACTCAAATATGTATTCACCTGTAGATCAACTTGTCTTTTTTAATATAGTCCCAGCTGAGTCAAAACACAGACGGACGTGAGTTGTCTTCTTTTGTGTCTTTTTGTTTGAGAAAGTTAATCTCTTTGAATGCGTGTGTGGCACCCACTCATGTTCAAAACATACTGGATGTTTCAGGATGTTTCACACATATCTCTGTTTCAGGATGACTTCCAGTAAATCTCAAGTTGCATTACTGAAACTGACAAAAAATAAAGACACAACACATTTTTGCTATAGCTGGGAAAAACATCAATCATATCTGTTACACAATGAGACATACTTAAGGCCTCTAAAAAATTCTGGTAGACAAACACTTCTAAAAGTATACTTAAAAAACATTACATAGAAACCCACAGTTCACTTGGTTGTAAGTCTTTTTAAGATAAAATGTCCTCTATCCTGACTGCCTTATCCATCCATCCATTATCTA